GCTCCAGTTTTCCACTAGCTGTACTTCGTATTCTATTCCATCACTTCATTGCTCAGAGGTAGCCCACTGTAAGTTTTCAAGTACCATCAAACCTTTATCTCATTTGTGAAATAACAATGCTGTGACAATACCCAAAATGTGCCATGGAGGAAGAGATCACTCAACAGGCCTGATCCACGGAGCAGTGCCCCAATCTGAAGACAACCACTCTGTCTGCGGGTACAACTTTGGATCCTGCACAGTCGCGATCACGCAGTGCAGATCTATTCCTATCACGCCACACTTTTGCCAAGGCAGCCATACTGTAGAAACAAGCTCCAGTTGCTATTAGTTTGCCCGTCTGCATCATTCATTACTTCACACACCATATAAATTTACTTGCTCTAAATTTGAGAGTACACAGCAAATCCTGTTAACTAACAGCAGCTTTATTTTTAGGTTTCAATGCTACATTAGCTCTTGCCAGACCCATGCAGATTCTGTGCAAAATCACTCCTCTATATTCTGCATCACACTCCTTATTACATTTTACGTTGCTCTTCTAACTTCAGTTACCCTGTCTTAAGTTGACTGCATTCCATTTAGTACAATCAGCTTTTATAAGTTTAGCATTCTACCACTAGGTAGGGCCAACAGTCATGCAGCTCTTCAAGAATAAATAATAATTCAGACAAGTATGTTATTCCTTTCTGTTAACAGTAAAAAAGTTGACACTATTTACTTTTGAAAGGACACAGAGAAAGGGCGGGGTCATACACAACATTCTGATTGACAAACAGCAGAAGCACAAGCCAAGAACATGAACTGCAAGATCGAACCCTAAGGCAGAACAGTGGTTACTGTTTTTCTATCACTGGCAGATACCAATTAAGCTACTCTACACAATAGCTTTAAATAATTCAAATAAAAAAATTTAAGCCATTTTCTACTCCAATGTAAAACACAATGCTAAAACCAACAGCAACGTTTCAATGTTTTGTATACAGAAGTCAGCAAACACAGTTACACCACCTTAACTTGGCAAGTTTTAGAATTCTGAAAAGAAATAGTGAATACAGAACACAGTTTGATACATCCAAAATACAAATGCTTTGTTACAAATCAAGATTCGAGTCATCTGTTATGAAGAGGTTTTGCTTTCCTTTTCCCAAGACGTATTCTTACCTGACACCTGATCATCTGTCAAGCCAAACGCTGACATGACGTTCTTACTGATTTCATCCTGGTTCTTTAGTGGATCAAATGCAGACATGCTTGCTGCTATAACTTGAGTAGATGGCTTAACATTAGAGTCAGCAGCAGCAGGCTTTTCTTCCCTACCATCTACAGCATCTACGAAACAAAATGCCCAGTTATTAATTCTTGAGAACTGAAACACCATCATACTTATATATTGTAGTACAGCGACTTTAAAATTGCATAGTTGTGGGGTTTTTAAAAATGTTTTAACTGTTGAAATGCTTATGTTAGGATAACAGTGATGTATCTGAACTGCAATGAAACCCAAAGCTTAGGTTTCATTGCACAGTTACTTAAAGATACACTGACGCTGTGCGAGTATCAGTATCACGTATCTATTTGTCTTAAATTCAACGGTACAAGGCTCCTGCTTCAAACAAATTGCTCTGGTATGACTTGCCTACCAGGAATTCAAAAATAAGGAAACTTACAGGATAGGTTCCTGTTTATTACAGTGTTTTATCAACCGCAGGTTTTGTTTTGTTCTATCCCCTTCTCCCCGAATTCTTCCTAAACTGACAGGTAAAGTTCATCTCTTTGCAATTATACAAGCAATACTGAATCACTCAGAAACCCCTTAGCTAGTAGTGCTACATTTTCTCTTAAAAACAAACAAGTGCAGACAGGGCTTAGACTGGCTAGTTTTGTTTACACTCTTAAGATCATCACCCTAGCCTTCTTCCAAATGGTTTATAACCAGAATCCACAGTATTCCATTGAAACTAGTAATTGCTTATATTGTAGGAACAGGGGCTGGCATTAGACTACATTAAACAATAAAACTTTGAAGTGTAAAATACAAAAGCAGCGTTTCCTAAAAGAAAGGCTGGAGTTCTTGGTTCACCTCTTTACTCAAGAACACTGTACTCCATGGCTTTGTGTCATTATTTTCTGTGTCCAGCTTGCCCCACATCTGTAGTTAAGCACACAGAGGTATAGTTTTTACAGTACAACAGCCCTAAGCTAGGAGATCAACACCTCAAAACTGGAAGAGTAAAACTTCCTGCCCCATTTTGCCCTCCCCCAACAATCCTTTCCCACCCCTGTCTGCACCCTTGTGCTGCTTACCCTGAGACAGCTCTGATGCTGGTCTGAGCTCAAAATGTGTGGATTCAATTTCCTAACCTGGCAAAAAAAGTGGATATATTTTTTGCTGAATTTGCTTTTTACTGTTTTAGCGATTTAAACTTGCTTAGCAACATGACAAGATAAGCACCAGAGCTAGCCCAAAGTAAGCAGTGGGAGTGCTCAGCTGGGAGCAAGAACTTTTCAGCAACAACAAACTATTAATTCAGCTCAAAGCCCTCTCAAAATGTTGTTGTGACTCACAAGTGTTAGTTACAGCATTTTCATACATTGCAACAAAAACTCAAGACTTCAAAGTTTTATTTCTAAGTTAACTTAGTGCTTTACTCCAGGTAACATGAATAAAAATTCTGCCTCTGAAATAACTGAAGCATTAAAAATTAAGTTCTGAACCATCAAGCAACAATTAAGAATGATCACAACCAGCATTCAAGCCTCCATTTTTCATTTTGTTAAACAGCTCACAACTCTGCAAATCAAACCAAACAATTCTTTGCCAGGCTGCCTACCACTTTCAGGCAGATTAGTGGAAAGCCCTGGTTCAGCTGGTGGTTCTAAACAGTCCAGTAAACGATTGACTTTATTGCGAAGTTCTATCAGCTCTCGACGCAGGTATTTCACCTGATTAGATTCTAGGGGTCTTGGTTGTCCATTCACTGCAAAACAGCAATTAGATAAATTTAAGACTGTAGTAACATTCTGACATCCAGTTTAAAAGTGAAAAAAAAAAAAAAATTCCCAACTTCTACTTGCTCACAGCATCCTCCTCCTCTGTGGAGTCTAAAGTGCCAAAGTTTAGTCAACACAGACTGAACTCGTTCTAGAGCTTACTGTTCCTTTAATATATCTCAGTTCAGCATAATCCACAGTACCAGAACTGCAAAGTCTGCAGTAAGTTTCTGCACTGTTTACTCATTTCCATGAATATACCCTAAACAATACAAATATCATACTTGGTTGTGGAAAGCTGTCCCTTTAGAAAGTGCCTTTAGAACTAATGTAGCATAGGCAACGCTGCTGCAATTCATGAATAAGGCCAGCATCCAAGTTAAAGGCTGCTTACTATTCCTTGGAACTATGTGCTAATTTACCAATCGCAGCTTGAAAATAAGTAAGTATTTTATATAAAGGCCAAAGGATAAATGTTAAAATCTATTCAACTTTAAGCAATTAATGTTAGTTTTTAGCAGTGTACTAGTAACACTGCAAGATAATCATCTTAAATTTCTCACGGACTAGTGAAGAAAACCCCACAAATGCTAGCATGGAAGATAACATGGAGAATAAGAAAAAAAACATTGACCACCTATATATGTATGCCATTTCTCATAAAAAGAAATAGTTTCAGTTTCCGTAAGTTCAGATGTCACATGAAACGTCAAGAGAGAAAATAGGTATGGTGTATTAATCCAGTATGTTTAACTGTTTCCATTCTTCTGAAGTGACAAACTGAAAGCTTCCAGTCAATTTCAATAAACACTATTAAAAAAAAAAAAAAAAAGACAATCTTCTACTTACCAAACAATGTCAGCTTAAGTATCCTACTGCATTGAATTGCAAAGGAAAGATCTGAGCTATCAAAAATTGTTATAAGATCTCCATCTGAAAAGAACATGAAAAAGTGACATTAAAAGCAAAGCCTATTAACTACTGAACTCCACGCTAGGGCTGAAGTGTTACTTCATTACTCAAAAATAACATTCCCTACTTGATTCTGAAGTTACTAGGAAAAAAGTTTATTATTTTAGTGCAAGAGTCAGTGTGCATGGAAATTATGCACAGAAGATAAGACAGAAGCATGACCAGCTCCAAAAGGGAGCCTTCTAACATTGGCCCTTTGAAAGTTCCATATAGCTCATCACTCTTTTATGCTTACATACAGGATAAAACATTAGAGCTAAGAGTTCACAAAGTCCAACACCAGAAAGAATGATGCTGCCAGTTAGTTATATGCCTGTTCCAAGTGGCTCCTAAACTATGCTGTTCATGAACAGCAGGAGAGTCAAGATAGATGGCACAAGCCAACCTCAATTTAATTTTTAAAAAACATAACATGCACACTAACAAGGGAAAAATTGAAGTGACTAGAATGCTTTCTGAGGTTACACTTGGAAGACTGATTTTCAATACTGGAAAGATAATAAAGTTCCTGCATAACAGTGAATAGTAAAAATCTCTCAGCCTTAACACATCAACAGGAATGAAGGCGTAAAGACATCAAAGTAGCCAGAAAAACGCTTTTCTCTCAAACCAAGAATTTGACATGAAGTCTGAACTCCTAGCCATTTATTTTTATATGTCAGATTTCAGAGGAACTGGCATCCTAATGAATTTGCACATTGCCATTGGTCACAGAAATTGTGTTAGAACTGTATGGGATCCCTTACTCTTAATATATAAAGCTCTAGACATAAACCATTTAACACCTGTAATCCTGTTAATACCCAAGAGAGAAACCAAGTTCCCATTAAGTCTGGTCTCTCAAAATTTTTAACGTGAGTCAAGACAACCCACATTAACATTTTTGCTCGCTCAACAAGATCACAGATAAACCAAGACTCAGTTTGCTGGAGGCTGCTATTAGCTCTGCCGTCAGCCTCCTCTGCACCACACTGAACGAGCCCAGCTCCCTCAAATGCAGTGGCCCCGCAGGCCACCTGCCCTAGGGCCTTCACTATCCTCACCACATCTTGCTGTGCCCTCTCCAGTTTCTCCAAGTCTTTTTAGCCTGGGGTGCAGGCAGCAAAACTGAGCACAGAATTCCCGGTGGGGCCTCACTAGTGCTAGGAAGGGGAAAGTAATAGTGTCTCTGTTTGCTATTATGATCTATAACAAGACCTACGCAACCAGACCCCAAACAAGTAACTCTGAAAGTTAAACAGTCCTTTCTCTCGGGCAGTAAAGTGAGGGGGGGGGGGGGGGGGGGGGGGGGGGGGCAGCTGTTCCCTCCCACTCAAACACTTCCTCCAGCTTTTCAGTATCCTTTCCTAAACGCTGATACCAAAATCCCCTGGCGTCTTAACACAAAGCCCTTCTATTCCATATTCTCCTGATAACACAATAAACGACAATTACTTCTCTGGTCAATGCACAACATTGGCAGAGCATCTTGCAATGCTTTTCTGTTGTATCAGTGAACATTCAGATTCACTCCCTAAACAAAGATGCATGTTCTAAACAGTTCATCCTGCATAGCCAAATGAAAATATATATTAATACACAGGGTTTACATGGATCAATGTCACACAAAAAAATCCAGACATTCCATCTTATTATCCCTCACCTATTTTAACATTTATGTTGAAGGCATTAAGAATGATTAAAATTTCTATTTTAAACTGCTAGCAGAGAAAAAGGCTGAAAAGCATCAAGTACAGAATCTTGTTAGATGAATAAAGTCAGTTCTATGATTCCTATTGACAGCCATCAAGCTATTACCCAAGCAGAGCATATGATAGGATTCACAAGGTATATGTGTATGTCAAGCCATACAAAGTCTGACAGTTTAAGTACATTAGATTTATCAAACAAACTTTCCATTTTAAGGAATGTCAGTGAAGCTTAATTCCTGTTACTACAATATAGATAGGTATATACAATGTTAATTTTCTACTGATAAGTAAAACAGACTTTATTTTCTTCACTAATCTTGTTATTTTAAGAACTTACCTTTCTTGTTTTTACAAGGGACACAGCTTTCACTCTTTACAATTTCCCATGTACCCTAAATATTCCCTGCCATGCCAATTATTTTTTTTTTTATCTTTAGTATAAGCTAGTGACTCCCTTGACTTACCAATGGAACAGAAAGTATTTTAGCATTAATTCTGCATCACCATGATGCATTCCAATTTTTATGACATTAGAAACTAGAAGAAATTAGAAACGTTTAAGACATTAGAAATCTGCCCCATTATCCTTGGCCCCGCCAGCTATGCCCCCTCATCTACTAGCTTTATATTTATCTTCTTTTTTTTTTTCTATTCCATTTTGGGAAAAAAAAGCCAAAAACACCACCACCAAAAATGTAGTTTTCCTTCACTTTGGTAAATTTACCAAAGGTAGAGTCATTACTGACTAGCACACCACCTTGATTACAGGCACTATGACTTAATAACTATTATTGCCTCTGACACAAAGACATCAACTTCTGCAAGATAACGAAAAACAAGATCAAAAAGGCCAATCTCACATTAGGCACTCCAATTTTAAATCCAAGCCTAACTTCACCAAAGAAAAAAAAGTAAAAGTTTCTATTATTGACTCCATAGGGGCTTTAGCATATGTAACTCAGTAACATGGGGTGCTTAAGATGCAATTCTACTCTTTGATTCATATAAATTCACTGCTGGCAGTCCTTATTGGCTTGTTTGGGGTTTTTCTGCAGACATTGGGTTATACTACATATTCAAGAACCTTAAGCAGGACATGAAAATTATTTCACATCTAGTAGAGCAATTTTATTAGTTCAGACGTTTGAACGATGCCCAGCTTAAATATATAGCTTAACTCCACAAGGCAGTAATCAAACTGAAACTTCTTTTCCATAGTAATTAATAAAAGCATCACATATCCTAAATATAACTTAGGAACATGCTTCTGCTTATCTTAGTCCACAAATCCAGAGACAGAAGGATTGGGATTTAAATAGCCTCTCCAATTAAGCATACAAGTTTGGTTTTTTCAAAGTGTGTTAGATCCAAGGATCATGACAGTTTGATGAAGATATAAAGCCACAGTATTTTGCAGGAATTTTAAGTAGAAAATCCTATATCCAGGCCTGAAGATCACTAGCTTCATGCGTTACAGCAACAAGAAACAAAGAGATGAAGCTTTCTTCTGAATGCTCAAAGAGCATGCACAAGAATTCTGAGAAGACCCAGATCAAGGCTGTAGAAGTAGTGGAAATGCCTAGACCAACTCAGGATACCTCCTCATAACAGATGAAGACAAGCGTTCCTCCAGGTCTGGAGGGATAAATAACAAAATGGAAATAGCTAGATTGCATATATTCCAAAGCTTCTAATGACCAAAATAGATTAAAAGAAGAATCTTAGCTTAAAATCAAGAATACTATGGTGTTCATAGGACAATCAAACTGAAGTCTAGTTCTGTTAACATTTTCCTTAATCACTTGCAACTTCCTCCGGTATTAACAGCGTTTAAATGTTCTTAGAAGTGATGATCAGCTAGGATAACACATACTGAAATTTCACATCACAGGGGAGTAGTAGTACATTCTCAGACAAAGAAACCTAAATTAAAAGTAGGAGGGCTCTAGGTCGTGAAAGACAACCAAAGCATGAAACCACAATTACAGTCTCTATACACCATTATCTTCTTCAAAGAAGGACAAAGATTGAAGCATACACAAAACCAGAGAACAGGTAAGAATGCAAAAAAAGGGACCAGATGCTTTAAACTAATGAAAAAGCATCCATCAATTTCCTTTCACCTTTCTCATCCCAGAAAGAAAAAAGAAATCGATTATGTGATAAGAGGAAAAACAAACCCACCAGAAATCCACTGAGCTCTCTCCCACTAGAGATCAAGACCCAAAATATTAACCCTTCACTAATATCAGTTTTGATAAGCAGCGTCTCTCAGAAGCTTCATGACCCTGAAAAAACTCTCAGGGTCATTCAAAGTGAAATTTTGTTGCCTAGATGTACAAACAAAAGTTATTTGACATTTGAGATACCACAGACAGTCCTAAAGTTTCCTAGTGCTATTAAGAAAAATGAACCTGAATGCTTCACTAATGCAGCTTTTACTGTACACCAGCACAATTATCACACAGTCTTTGATCTCACTAATAGGCTTTGGATTTTATTACTTCATTCTGAGTTTCATTTTATGAATACCACCCCTCTGTCCCAAATTAAGTAACTTATTCCATGCCCCACACTGACATTCAAAGCGGAAAAATCCTCCGAACCACAACTCTCTTTCTACACATCCCAAACAAGGCCCTTCTCATTCTGTGGAAGCCCTTCTTTCTTAAGGTTGTGTTTGTTTAGCACTAATGATCCAGATTTTCTTTGAATCAACCAATGTCCAACACGAGCAAAGATTACTTTATAAACATTTCAGATTAAGTTAGAAGTTTCTTCTAATCTTTACTGATCGAGAAAAACATAATTAAGAATCACTACTACATAAATCAAGCTTTCAAAGTCTTATAAGAGCTTGTGTTAAGTCATACATGCTTATTCTCCCCTCACCTTCAAACCCACTTCAGCACTGAAAACACAAAAAGATGATTAAATGAACAGACAGAAGAGAAACCCGCAATAGCATCAGCTTCCTGCAACAGCAAAAAACTGAACTTTCAGATAGCTGATACTTCAGAAAAACTGGAGGAAATACTATGTTAAGGCAGCGTAACCACAAGAGATACAGTCACTATTGTCTGATTCAAAGGATTTCACAAGAAATCACTTGCATTTGCCAATGAATGTGGACAATTTTGAAGAGGTGAATTTCAGAGTTTCTGTCCATAGATAAACCATATCAGAGCAACAGTAGTAAACCTCAACAGTAGTAATTAAACCTTACCTTCATCTTTGTATTTTATTGTGACTTCATCATTGCTCAGAAGTTTTCCTCTAAAAACTCTTTGCATCATTAGCACCAATTCATCATAGGTAATATCTTCATTATGAATAGGAATTCTCCTAATATCTTCCCCAAGCTGAGCTTTGATGATCAGCTTCCCACTTAGGTCCAGCTGCCCATTCATGGTGGATTCCTTATCGCCTGCAGACCTATTAACAACAAAACATATAAAAACATTGTAGAAAACTAAACTGTTAGTTAGTTAAACGTATCTGGTGATGGTTCTGAAGCTTTCCATCTTTGGAAAGCATTACTCTTAGGAAGCTCTCCAAAGAACCTCTCTCGGACACACTCCATGATGCACTGATTTCTCAAACAATAAAGCGCACGATACATTAACTGAGCTCACAGGCAAAGAACAATTCTGTAGGATCCAACACTTCAAATTAACAGTTATCACAGTTCCCAGTGCTCAGAATTTAAAAGTAAAGATTTTTTTTAAAACTCAGACAGCTTTTAAATGTGTGTGACACTTAGAAATTTCAACTTGGCTGCATTTTTTTGTAAGGTATCAGCTGTAAACTGTCATGGAAAAAAGCTATAAAGGAACTAACATTCCCTAGGATTTGCTTTTGAGATACATATACATGTCTCTCAGGGAAAGTGAAATTGCTGCAAAAGCTGTCAGCCTTACAACATTATACTGGTTACATTAGCACTTTACTAGATTATTTTTATATCTCCCATAATTATGATATCAGCAAAGTATTTCACGAACAAATAAACAATGAGTTAAACATTGGTTTTATTATATGCATGATCAGAACACACTGAGGGTCCCTGTCCAGACAAAATTTTTCTTGTTTTGAAATTTTGACTGAGATGTTTTAACCAAGATTTTTGTTTTTTAAAAAGCTCCTCAACAGACCACACATTAGCTGCTCATTAGGCTCAGAGCCACAAATTTGTTATGCAGTGTACATGGCCAGAACAGTCAGTTACTCTCAGTGGCTTAAGAGAGGTGGACAACTGCACCAACTTAAAAAGAAGCGCTACAAAGCCATCTTGTGTCCAAGCAGCACACAGCATATACTTCAGAGTTTTCTCTTTAACACTTTATAGAAGACAATTTAAAAATTATCACTTTGTATCAGGCATCTCTCATTAAAAAACACAAAGGCCTTATGTTTAAAAGAAAAACAGAAACTACAGAGAAGTTATGAGCAGAGAGAGGAGAAGAGAAAAAAAAAAAAAAAAAAAAAAAGATCTAGATAGATAGTCAAATGTCCCCTTCTTTCTTCACTGTTTTGGACAGGGCCAAAACGATAGATCTGGAATGAGGACCAAATAAAGGATCAGTTATCTTCACATCTGAAATACAAATACCAGAGATCTTAAAAGTAGGCAGCCCTACACATAAAAATTGACATTTCCAAAGCCACATGCAGGCAAGCATGCTGTTCCTTCTCTTGCGCAAAACGCATCCTTGGTAGAGATATGCAGATATTTCTCCCTTGCCTTTAAGGATGTTGTAACACAGTGCCTTATAAGAAAACTGAATTTTGCTTTGGTCAGTCTATTTTTAAAGTACTGCATTGAAAATTACTTCTCTCCTACCAGAGAAACAAGACACTCAGCTAAAGCCTTTAATACATCATACCTTGATGCCCCGATTGTTTCAATGGCAATGTTTTGCATTAAAAAGATGTAGTATGATGCTATCTCTAGATTGCAATTCAATTTCTGGGGTTTTTGAGTAATTAATATAAAGCAAACATTTTACACAAATCCCTTTGTTTAGCCCAGTGACATCCAAAAAAATAGACACACAAGCAATTCTTGAACAAAACTCATTCTCCTAATCAGACATAACAGGAGTAGGTGGATAGAATCTAATTGCAGAGAAAAGGGACCTGCAATTAACACAGCCAGGTTGCTACTGAGACACTATAATGAACAGTGAAGTTTATAGTATCATTAATGCTCGCTAATGCATTATTCATATTTTGCAACATAGGAGTCTTGACTGCAGGCACATCAACCCAGCCTAATTAACAATTTAAGTTGGTTATAAAAGCACAGTGTTTTGCAGAAGTTGTTTGTTTTTAATGTAAAGCGTTAAAAAAATAAAACAGCATCCATCCACAGGTTTTCTTTCACCTCCGTTCCAAAAACATGCTTTTATCATTACCTTGTCCGTCTTACTGATACTGGATTATTGGACAGATTTCCCACCTCACTTCAGGACAGAGTTAGGATAAGCCGCCATGCACTATCAGTGCCAGAAAACAGGAAGCTGCATCAGAAAAAAAACCAAGAAATATTTATTTACAGTCACACTTCCTTAGAATTATATATACACTTCACATCAGTCTTCCACTTTAGAACACCCTAACAAATATACCCAACTAAAAAAAGTCACTGTTTTATCCAAAATATAACAATCGGATTTACACTTTCAAGTAGAGTCTGAAGTTCAACTAAAATAGATCTTGAACAAGACTTTTCATTTCATAATAGAAGTTGTTTATATTTTCTAAATTTTGTAACTGCATGTAGGAATTCCTAACAGTAATGTGTTCGTTTCCAGGGCAGTGATCTTCCCCAAGAGTCTCAAAATATTCGTTTGTATGGCCTCCATCTTAAAATCCCTGGTTAAGTTAAAGAAAATAAACTTTGATTGATTTAGCAGTACAAAAACCTAGAAGTCCACCTCTTAGCTTAAGGCTGAAGCCCCTGTGGCACTAAGTAGTGTGTCTTCAAGGACAGACTGCACAGCATTAGGACAGACTACCAAGAGGAAAGGAGCAGTAATGCCACTTTGCCACAGGAAGAGCCACCAAACAGGGCAAGGAGGAAATGCAGTCAGAAATATACAACCACTTAAAAATAAGAACTGCCCTCAATTCAGCTTAAGATTGTGCTTTTTCTGCTGGAAAGCCTATGCGATGAGCTGTGTGAAGTTTATGCAGCCCACCTGTTTATTACACAAGTGCTTAATGCCCAGGGCTACAGGACAGACCAGTCCAATAGAGAACATAACTGAGCTCCTCCCTCACACCCGATAGGCGTACCCTACTCGGCACTCTCCTCCCTGTCTCTCTCTCTTGCCCACATGGTTAATCTCAAACATCCGTGATCTGATTTTTAGATGATCTGCTGCTAACCAGAGAGAAAAAGTAGGTTCCTCTCACCCACATGAAATTTGGCTTCCCAGCTCTCCTCTTTCAACTCAAGTGGAGGTAAATTGGAAGGGACAGGCACAAGACATACAGGACTGAAGCAGACAGCAAGCAAACCCCAGAGAACAGACAAAGCCCCTCTCTCTGGTTCTCACAGGCTGGCAGCAGCTCCCCTCATCCTGCGTATGAAATGTTCACCTCTAGAAAGGGCTGTACTCACTCCTGACAGGAAGAGGGTAAAGCTGTTGTGACATACTAAGCAGGTGAACAGGAAGAAACTACTTTTCTGACTCCTCACTCACACTTTACGAAACGAGTAATGCATGAAGATGGTGCCCCTTTCACCCCAATCTTGCTACAGCTGCAGGTAGAATCTACTGCAACGGACAAATACGGGACACAGATAACGCATTTAAGAGTGGTTTAACCTGGAGAGTTCATTTAAGCTACCACCGCATGTTGTTTAAACATTGGAGCCGGGCACTGGTTTTGCTTCTTTAGAATTACAATGTAAGCTACTTAGAAACTGACAACGCTAAGAATCAAACCTCACCTGTAATTCCTAAAGATACACATTTCGGTGGACACACCTGAGCTCCTGTGGCCTTTCAACAGACTGAATGCATCATTTGTTTCTTTGTGCAAGGAAACCAGTCGCTGTAATTTACTTACAGAACTATAATGTCTTATTTACCAGCATTACTCACATAAATCCGTTGTGTGTCTATCAATGATTATGAAAAGGTAACAGGAAAAGCATTTAAATGCACTTTTTTTGTCCAACTGTTCTCCATTCTGCTTGAAGGTGTCCAGGTTTTAAGAGACAGATTCTAAGCACTGCAACTGCTTGCAACTGTTACAGAAAATGATGTGAAATGTTCTAATTATTGAATTACACAGCATTCAAGCTTTTCTTCCCTCACTGTGACATAGCTGAACGGATGACTCGCTTGAGAGAGTTTTTCAGAGAAGACATCCAGAACACACACTAATGAGCTTTTTAGCAGAACCAATTGCAGCATCTACTTTCTTAGGGGAAAAAAAAAACCCAAACAAACAAAACAAAACAAAAAAAAAAATCAATGTCTTCATGTTTAAGAAAGGCTGTTTTTCGTAAGAGTGACATCTTTCTAACCTTCCTGGTGTACCACATGCGTTTTGGAGGTACAGATTTTTTCCTCCCCTCTTGGCTCACTTTCTATTCACATCATGAACCAATCTAAATGGTGCATGTGGACAGCGACCGTCCAATCTAAGCCAGTCACTTGAGGATCCCTTGTCTAAAGCCATGATGTCATAACCATGTTTAGATTTCACTACCCTTTTTGCATTGCAGCAGAGAAAGACAGCCTTGCCAGGGAAGAACCGGCATTCTGCTTCACTTTTTCCTCTGTCAAAACAGGGACAAGGAACAACAGGGTGAAGCATACAGGAACAGGGCCAAGCAGCACTGCCTCCCAAACCCCACTCGACGGAGCCACGAGAGCTCTCCCAAGATAGCTGGGGGGGTGGGAGGGGTGGGGAGCAGAAAGGACAAGAGCTTTTTTTGTTTTGCTCCAGCTCCGATACGGGCAGGCCCGAGCCAGTGGGGAGCAGCAATCA